GTTACTGGTTTCAAGAGGGGATTAGATGCCTTTCGGCTTCATGGATATCGAGCTAATAAGCTTGGTCATCACTGGGAACTTTCATATGACATCTTTGATAGGATAGATGTGTCTGTGTCTAATAGGAATAGTTATGTAAGTTATATAAAAGATAATCCATTGGTAGCAAAGAGGAAGAAGGTTAATATCAAAGGTATTTAGTTAAATTTTTTAAAAGTTTGTAATTATATGGTTTCAAACGTAAAGTGTTCATTTTCTATGAATTTCTTTTTGAGATGCCCAGAGAGGCATTATTTATAATGTTATGTTATGTTGTGAATCCATCGCACATTCCATTCTCTCTATATTTTAACTGATAAGGACTATCACAGATGATCCTTCCTGCTTGTTGTTCAACTCTCTGCCGCCTACGCTGCTCCCTCCCAGATTTCTTACACCGCCAGTTGTATTACACTCTATTTGAATCACACCTCTCCTATTGTATCACGGTTTGGGGTGGGGCAGCCAAAACTCGTATAAGTTCTGTATTCAAAGCACAAAAATATTGTCTCAGGGTACTGTTTGGCGACAGGGAGGCATACCTAGATAAATTTAAGACCTGTGCTGGTGCTCGACCGTTTGGCAACCAAAATCTGAACAAAAAATTTTTCTTGAAAGAGCACACGAAACCTTTGTTCAAGGAACACGGAATACTTGCCGTCCAAAACCTGTACACTTACCATTGTTTCCTTGAGCTCTATAAAATCATGAAATTCCGTGCTCCGATTTCCCTCCATGAAAATTTCACCTGCTCAAGTAGGAAACCCACCCTTATACTAAGCCAAGCAGACCCCCCTGACAACTTCAATAGCAGAACGACTCGTATTTGGAACGTAATTGTGCCTAAGCTTGGTATACGTGACTACTGTCTAAGTGTGTCCTGCCTGAAGTCTAGGATGAAGCAATCACTGCTCGTCAACCAGCATAACCATGCTGATCTTGATTGGACAAACAAAGATTTTGAATGCTCTAATCTAAATTTTGACATTAAGTCTACCCTAGGGTCCACACATCCAAAATGATTATCTTGAAATTTAAAATTAGCTGGGTGTGCATTTTCCTTTGTCTTACTAACGTGTGTGAGCGCAGTGTAGTGAGAAAGTGTTTTTAACAGATTTATTATTAGACTTAGGATTATGATTTTTAATATATTACATTGATATAAGATTTATTTTTGATAGGTACTTAATAACAAAGATCAAAGGAAACTTAGAAGGAAAGCCGAGAGAACTAAGCATAAAAGTGAGGAGAACAGGATACTCTTTGAAGAGATCCGAGATGAAACAACAAACATGGCTAATCTTAAAAAACAACAGTATTATAAAGGTTTACTTGACAAAAATCAACATGATGTTAAAGCTATATATAGCATTGTCAATCGTGAGCTTGACAGACATCAGAATACTCCTCTCCCAGAATCAGAAGATGTTTCAAAACTTTGCAGTGATTTTAATCACTATTTCAATGAAAAGATCAAGAACATTAGGAAAGATTTCCCCAGCATAGAAGATTTTGATGTTGATAAACACATTATGAATCAACAGAACAATTCCAACTGTGAAGGTCGGTTATATGAATTTGAACCATGCACAGAGGATGAGCTGTCTGAAATAATCAAAGAAAGTGGAATCAAGTGTGCACCATCTGATTTTCTTCCAACAACTGTCCTCAAAGACAATATCACAAGTTTCATTCCTGTCTTGTGCAAACTGGTGAACCAGTCTCTAGCTAAGGGCACATTCGACGGTTTGAAGACTGCTGACATTATTCCTACCATCAAGGACCACAAACTTGATCCAAATGACTTCAAGAGCTATCGACCTATATCTAACCTCTCTTTTCTGGGTAAACTCATCGAGAGAGTTGTGCTGAAAAGGTTAAATGAACATCTGGCTAAAAATGATCTCAATGTGCCACAGCAATCTGCCTATAAGAAGTTCCATTCTACTGAGACCATCTTGTTAAAAGTAACAAATGACCTACTGCTGGCATGTGATAGCAAATCCTCCACTGTTCTCATGATGCTCGATTTATCTGCAGCCTTTGACACAGTGGAACACAGAAAATTACTCAAAATTCTTTCTGAAGAGATCCATATCGGAGGTACTGCTCTTAAATGGTTCAAGAGTTTCCTGGTAGGCCGCACTCAAAGAACCAGAATAGGCTCTTCTACTAGTGATACGATCATTCTAGAATTTGGTGTACCTCAAGGTTCTGTGTTAGGACCGGTGCTATTCAACATATACATCAGATCTCTGTATAGGACCATCGAGAAATCTGGATTCAATGTGCAAGGATATGCAGATGACCACCAGGTATATAAAACTTTCAAACCTTGTGATCAGGTAAATGTTCTGGGCATCCAAATTGTGAATTGCGCTAGGACCATACAGCGCTGGATGGTTGAATATTGCCTTCAACTTAATCCTGGAAAAACACAAATACTTATCATCGCCTCACCTCAAGTTCTAAACCAGGTCAGTATAGGGGGAGTTAAGCTATCAAATGATACCTGTATCAGATTTGTCAGCACAACAAAGAACCTTGGTGTTCAAATTGACCATCATCTTACTTTTGAGCCTCAAATCATGTCCCTCAAAAAGCATTGTTTCAGACTCCTTAGGAATGTAATAAGGAGAAAATATCTCTTTAGTAAAGCTCAGCTCAAGCTTATAATTAACAGCATCATTGTCTGCAAATTGGACTACTGCAATGCTCTTTATTATGGAATTAGTGACAACCTCATCCACCAACTCCAACTCGTTCAGAATGCAGCTGCTAAAGCTATAGTAGGACTATATAAATATGATCATCTAGGAGACACTCTGAAAGACCTTCATTGGCTGCCTATTAGTTACAGAATTCAATATAAGTTATTGCTTCTTGTCTATAAATGTCTTAATGGTATGGGACCAGATTATTTAAGTGATATGTTTAAATATGCCAATTATAATCATCTTATCTATTTGACTGAACCAAGAGTATATTCACAGTATGGAGAAAGATCGTTTCAGAAGGTTGGCCCTAAATTATGGAATGAGCTGCCTCTTGAAATTAAGAATTGCATGTCACTGGAATCTTTTAAAGTGTATCTGAAAACGTTTCTTTTTAAACGTGCTTTTGATATTAATTAATTTACTACTTTTTCAACGTTTCTACTGTTAAGTGCATACCCTTAACCTTGTAATTTAGTGTATCAAGTCTTTACAATTTTCTATGGTTTGGAACCTAAATGTGGATTGCTTTTCAGGTTTTCTTGTATCCTGACTTGTTTTCGTGGCACACCTGTGCATTTTAAGTTGTTGTGCCACTATAATCTATAAGTTTAAATTATTATTATTATTTAATAAAGTTGATGAATTTCCCTCCCTATTAAAATTTTAAACCCATTTAGTGAAAATTGATAAACAAAGATCTAGATATTGATACATATTATAACCAACATTGCTTATATTCTGCCTTGTAAACAAAGAGCAAATCTTCTTAATGCCTTCTTCCTGTCCTAAAACTAAAACTTCATCCTATTAAAGTAAAGGCCAGTTGTTACCACAAGCTATTATACCGTCCCTTTCAAAAACATGCCTCAGCCTCCATCAAAAACAATTTTAGTTTTCAGTCCTTCTAGTTTCCAAAAATCTACCGAGCTAGTGTTCTGGTGTGCACAAAAGCCCCTAAGCCCGTGCATTCCTTGCCCCGCTAGCTGCCAGTCCTTGACAAACTTCCAATAGCAAAGATCAACTAGTCATTCACAAATTGAGCACTATACAATTTTAATTGTTTTAAATATTTGACTTTGTAAAATGAGCTAAAACATTGATTTATTAGTTTCATTGATTTATTAGTTTCATTGTTTATATCGTTCTTCTCACATGGAATGTGCGATGTATCATGGTGAATAGAATTGGTAAAACATAAATAAATCGGTGGTTTTTTAATTTTTTTACCCAGGGTTTTTTTTGTGGTTCCTATTAAAATCAATGTAAACATTTATGGGTGAGAAATTAAAGCTAGCACGCTCAGGAGCTAAAATTGTCAGACAAGCTCAGACTCACACAAAACTTGGCACGAAGTTGTGTCTAATTATGATTGACATTCTCTAAAAATTTGAAGCAAAAATATTAATCAGAACGTAAGTTATGGCGCTTTTTTCATTCTGAAATAAAATAATTAGTGAGATCTCAGCGAGCTGTTACAATTTTAAGAGATAAGGACGAATAGACTTTTGAGGCCCACCCTGTATAATAATTAGTTGAATTTTCAAATAAAAGAATTGATGGGGGTCCTCATTCATACTAATTCTCAATTTTTGTCCCCATTAAATCGTTCGGGTGGGGGGCTGGGGACTGCTACTCCATAACCAGGATTCGAAAGTCTGTGAATTGGCTGACTCCGAGAAAATAATGACATTTTCCATCCTGTAAAAAAGGGTGGCTATGTGTCAATGCGGCATAACTCTTTGAGAGATATCATGGCAAACATAATGAAAGAAGCAGGGTGCTCAGATGTTTGGATAGAACCCTCCTTACTCCTTATCATTTATCAATCCAAATGACAGATGGTGACCCTGTCTCACTAAATTCAACCACCATAATCGACCAAATAAAGTTTAATAAATAATTATATTATACAATCACCAAAGAATATTTCCTCAAGTTGAAAACTTATTGTTTCATTTGTGCTAGACTACAGTTTTGCCAGTCTTTTCCAAAAGTTGAAATTTACATGTTTGAGTTACAGGTAAAGTTTTACAGGAAAACCACTAACATCTCAGCAACGCAAAGTCAGACTTTCATGCAGTTTTTTTCCCTACCTAGACCTGTTCATCTCCAACAGCTCTACCACTTATTAAGTTAAAACTAGAAAATTGATTTTTACTCCCCCCCCCCCCCCCCCCCATTAGTCTCAAAGTGAACATTCTAACCAAAAATTGTTAAATTATTTTAACTCACTTTAATTATTAGGATTGTCAATACCATGTTGCGTTCCCTAGCACGTCCTCTTGTTTCACTGACTGGGTGCAAAGCTGCAAGCACAACAACTGGCATTAAACCAGGGACAAAGTACGGAGGAAAAACAACTGTCACACTTATCCCAGGTAAGCACTTCTAAGATTTTGCAAATATTCGTGCAATCTCCTTGGTTGACTCAGCCGAATAATAGGAAACTTTATGAGGGTTAACTGAGGAGGGGTACCTGTTAGAAGTTCAAGAAACTTCCTTGGATACCCCTTCAGTGCATACTGTAAACATAGTACTGTTATTAACTATTTACTGTTATGGGCTATGTAATAAGTTCGGGGTTTATTCTAACTGTGATGGTATTTATCTGGGTTGTTATTCCGCATGACAGGTGTTCAGATTGACTCTCAAAGCTAGGAAGAGCTAATTCTATGTTTATAAGTTTATTGCTTTAAACAATCTCATTGTAGATTTTACAGATGCATTGAAACCTGTGACCCTCTAATCTTGTATCCTACAATATCTGGTTTGAATAGTCATAACTAGTGTTCAATGCTCGAAATAATACCAGTGTAATATCTAAATTTTGAGAATACCAAATCACACATTAAAGAAACCTATCAGTTTTTTTCTTATTATGTGACCAGTGTCTGTGATGTGGTAACTTTTATGGAAGATAATTCTATAATTAGATGCCAAAAAGCCAGCACCTAATCAGCTAATATTCTTGTCATTGTAGCATCGTGGACCAAAAGAACTGCAGTTTGTACACTTATTCCTGGTAAGATGAGCTTGGGACTGATTTTTTCATCATCATTGTTGCCCGTACATTGTGCTGATAGTAAAAATGTTCTTTATTAATATTCCTTGGTTTGCACTTTTCCCAACATGGCAGATATATATGACGTATGCTTCAACGTATTAGATTTTATGAAACTTATGGATGCAAGGAGAAAATGTATCTAGCATTTTCATCATTACAGTGGAATAGAAATTTCTATGCCATTTCGTCCCTTGGCCTTCAAAACTTCAATATCAAATTGGCATCAAAATTCTTTACACTTTTCTCACATGGACAATTATAAAGACCTCAGATTCTTTCTATTCATGCTAATTTTCTGTACCTTTTAATCTAATAGCTGATTGTTGCAGTCTCTTTTTCTTTTAGCATTAAACGTTCCTTTGCTATGCAGTACCTAACTTTAAATATTAATGTTATATTCCCTCCATTTTACTCTAATGTTTGGAGTCATTAAATCTAATGGAAATATCTAAAGAATTCATGTTTGGTTTATATCAAATGGAATCCACAGCTATAACTATATTGTGTGTGCAGGTGATGGAGTGGGTCCTGAGATCTGCGAGTCTGTGACCACCATCTTCAAGGAAATGGCTGTTCCGGTAGAGTTTGAAACTATTGAGCTCACCAAACACACACTCAATGATGAGGGTTCTTTCAACATGGCCATCACTTCATTGAAACGCAATGGTGTTGGACTAAAAGGTAAAATAACTTAAGATTTAATTTGATTTATAAGATCATTCTCAAATTCCACAAATTTTGAGTTTGAACATCATTTAATATGTTATTATAATATATAACAAAACTTCATCATGGTTCTGTTATAATTTCTCTTTCAACTAAACCAAATTGTTTCAGGTGTGCTAAATAGGTCAGGTGACTTCAGACATCATAACATGGAGTTCAGAGGAAACCTGGACACATACGCCAATGTTGTTAGAGCCGTGAGCTTTGACGGTATCAAAACCCACCACACAGGTACAATCAGAGCTCCTTATTTTCCGTTCTTTGCTGTTTATCCAAAAAATTTCGGTTTTCGCCACTGAAAAAATGGCATTTAAAGGAGGGAAAGGAAGCAGTTCTAACGAGCTCTTCTCAAACACAAGGATATATCTTGTTAACTTGGCTAGTATATATGAAACATTTGATATGGAGTTGTAGAGGGAGTTATGTGCCTCGCCGGGCTAAAGTAGTGGATGACCTTGCTGTACGGCAAGGTAAACAAGGATCTGAAACTACTAGGTTCCGTACAGACTCAACTCTGCACCCGTGTCAATATGTTCATTATATGCAAGCCTCTTGATTTATAAATATAAAATGGATCATTGCAATGATATGTAAAACTTTACCATTTGCAGGGATAGATCTGATTGCAATCCGTGAGAACACAGAAGGGGAGTACAGCTGTTTGGAGCACGAGTCTGTGCCAGGAGTCGTGGAGTCCTTCAAGGTTATCACTCGTGAAAAGTCCATGAGGATCGCTAAGTTCGCATTCGACTACGCCCTTGAGCACAATAGAAAAAAAGTGACTTGCATTCACAAGGCTAACATTATGAAGCTGAGTGATGGTCTTTTTAAGTCGTGTTGCCAAGAGGTTTGTTTTGAAACATTGCACTTTAGAATTTATTTTAATGTGGAATTCTACCATCTGGAGCACGCCAGTTATATTACAGTGCTATAAATATCCTTTAAATTTTAATGTAAGAACCGATCGAAATGTACTAAATACATTTTTTTTGAATGTGGAATGCAAATGTACATTTTGTATGAATGTGAGTAATACCATATTATATATATACAGGGTTGGCCATAAAACACTACCCATCCTTATCTCTTAAAATTGTTACAGCTCGCTGAGATCTTAATATTTATTTTAAAAACAAAAAGTGGCATAACTGTTCTGATAAATATTTTTGCTTCTTAATTTCACAGAATGTTAACAATAAGTACCTAGCTTAACCTTTGTGGCAAGTTTTGTGTGAGTGCGAGCTTCACTGCGCTTATTTGACCAATTTAGCCCCTGAGCGAGCTAGCTTGAATTTCTCACCCAGAACCGTTTACATTGGTTAATAGGAACCACCAAAAAAATCCTGGGTAAAAAAATAAAAAAACCAGCGATTTATTCACGTTTTACCAATTCTATTCACCATGATCCATCGGACATTCCATTCTCTCTATATTTTAACTGATAAGGACTATCACAGATGATCCTTCCTACTTGTGTAGATCGTTCTTCTCACATGGAATGTGCGATGCATCATGGTGAATAGAATTGGTGAAACATAAATATATCGGTGGTTTTTTAATTTTTGTACCCAGGATTTTTTTGGTGGTTCCTATTAACCAATGTAAACAGTTCTGGGTGAGAAATTAAAGCTAGCACGCTCAGCAGCTAACTTTGTCAGACAAGCTCAGACTCACACAAAACTTGGCACGAAGTTGTGTCTAATTATGATTGACATTCTCTAAAAATTTGAAGCAAAAATATTAATCAGAACGTAAGTTATGGCGCTTTTCCATTCTGAAATAAAATAATTATCAAGATCTCAGCGAGCTGAAACAATTTTAAGAGATAAGGATGGGTAGTGTTTTATGGCCCACCCTGTATAATATAGATATATACCCATACCATTTTATTATCACCAGGTGTCCGAACTGTACCCTACAATCGACTACGATGAACAGATTGTAGACAACACTTGCCAGCAACTCGTCATAAACCCACAGCAATTTGACGTCATGGTAAGTACAAACTCGGTTTCACAAAGTAATCTTAGCATTTGAATATTATGTAGTTAAAACAATTCAAACTGCCTCAGTGACCTACGTTAGGAAAAGTATTAATCCTCCTCGCGAGTCGCGATCTTGTTTCATATAATAACAATATGAGTCATACTATGGAATATGTATTATTATTCCGATGCAGATGTTTAATGTACATACATGTTTCAGGTGATGCCTAACCTGTATGGTAACCTGGTATCCAACCTGGCTGCTGGTTTAGTTGGCGGAGCAGGAGTAGTTCCCAGCAAGAGTTACGGCAGTGAAATAGCTGTAAGTATGATTAGGGTATTATATCAGATCTCATTTTAATTCAAAGTACCTTCCTCAGCAATATGATAGGGAAAAGTTATTCTTAACTTTGGCCCTTCAAAATTTAAACCGATAAAGGTTCCGGTTGATGAACTTGTCTAATTTTAAATTGATATATTTTAAAGCTTGATCAAAGAAACCGGCCAACTCAATTCTTACGTCCAGGTATTTGAACCTGGTGCTCGTCACACATGGATGGAGATGAAGGGAATGTACGTTGCAAACCCTGTAGCTATGGTCCTCAGTTCCGCTTTCATGCTGAAACATCTAACTCTCCACGATGCTGGAGACAAGTTGATCCAAGCAGTCAGTAAGTAAAATCGTAGGGGTATAGGACTTTTCAGAAAGATCATTGATCTGTGATCTGTGATCTGTGATCTGTGATCTGTGATATGTGATCTGTGATCTGTGATCTGTGATCTGTGATCTGTGATCTGTGATCTGTGATCTGTGATCTGTGATCTGTGATTGCCTGCATCATTACAAATATATTATATTATATAATAATGGTTAAACCCAACTGTAAACGGACCGTTTTACTGTCCTGGCACTATCACACGCACCCCAATCTGACAGAGTTAGTGTTGAACAAGCAGAGCTGTAAAACACGAGATCTGGGCGGGAATGCTACCACTCCAGAGATGACACGAGCTATCTTGAACGAACTTGACACCCTGTATGCTTAGTCATAAGATTATAGGTAACCATGAACAGATCTTCAAAGTATGAAGCATACACACAACTCCCAGCATCATTATCAGAAAGCCAGAAGCACCTTATAACCTTGTGGCTTGCACGGCACCGGCTTGTCACAATGTTATCTCGAGATCATCCATTCTCATCTCGTCCTGACGTCATGATGCACAAATGAAACTCATAGTATTTAGCATGACGTACATATCGATCACATTTAAAACTTAAGGAATTCTGTTTCGGTAAAGATTGAAAATTTGTATTATAAACCGCATTACGTAGACTAATCTTCCACGGATCACTCATCACATGACTATATTATTATTTATAAATAATTTTATCATTTCAATTATTTCATTTATTACCAGTGAATGGAATTTCCAGATGATAATAAAACATATAAATAAAAAGATATGGCCGTGATGTAATTATGATATAATTATGACGTAATATTTCAGAGAATGTTTTAAACAAGCGAAGCTGTCGTACAATAGACCTCGGTGGGAAAGCCAAGACTCGTGACATGACACGTGCTATTCTGGATGAACTCGAAATAATGGAACTGCAAGCCAATCTTGGTATCTAGTTCCGTTCAAGCTAATATTATCTGTTATTTTCTATTTATTTAGTGGGATTTGAAAAGACTGAAAGAAAATGTTAGTAGGAAAATAAATGATACTGTGTTTTTCCACCCTGATTTATTTAATTTCCTTCAAGTATGGTTCTCTTCACTCGCTAGGTATATTTTCATTTCAAATTCCCATGATACATACTGTATCAAGTTTCATAGTACACCTTTAACGATATAATATTACACAGTATTTGCCTGTCCATTTTATAATGTCGAGTTTTGCATTTACCTGCACGTAACGTTCTTCAACGCCTTTTTGAAATTTCATTAAACCCAAGTTTATTTATTGATTGTCGGATAATGTGTTTAAACGTTTTGCTGTAACATAATTTTGAGACTATTTATTTTCTACAAATGGCTACTAAATGTCAGTTTTATTTTTAGCCTAAGTTAAACTGTTTCCGAAAACTCTCATTCGCAATCTGACAGTTAATGACTTTGCAAACTATTCATTCAATCTATTAAAGTAACCGTAAAATTCAATAGAGGAAAAATTAGACTACTTTTATTAACAATTTGAACAATTTGAGAAGATTTAAACACATAAAATAAAATGAAAACAAATATCTTTTAATCATATCCCTACTCCTAAGATGCAGCAAATTCTGCTGACCCTGCTCCTGCTCTCCCTCTCCTCGTATACCCTGTCACTTGACCCTACTTCTTGTGAAGAACTAAGGATTGTGGAAACAATTCCTGACGGTCTCACCTTCGCCAACTCCTCCCTTCCAAGAAATGAGCCCACCACTATGGCTCTTACTCAGCTACTCGATGCAGCCCAACTTAATCTTGATATCGCTGAGTATTACTTTGATCTGAGACCCAGCCCACCTGCCGAGGATGGATCTGATGAAGATGGGAGGGATATTTGGAGTGGTTTACGGAGAACTGGGTTGAGATTAAAAGAAGCCGGAGGTGGATTGAGGATTGTGCACAATGTTCCTGATAAGGAGTTTCCTGATCCTGATACCAAGGATTTAGCGGATGCTGGAGCAGCAGAAGTGAGGTATCTCGACTTTGAGAAACTGATAGGGGGTGGGATAATCCATACTAAGTTGTGGGTTGCTGATCAGACAAGCTTCTATCTTGGGTCTGCAAACATGGACTGGCAATCCCTTCGGCAGGTCAAAGAGTTGGGAATCCTGGGTATAAACTGTCGAGTTATCGCTCAGGATCTTCAAAAGATGTTTGAAATTTACTGGTATCTTACAACCAACCCAGTTCCTGATAAATTCCCTGCATCGTTGGATACTTTATACAACAGCAACAATCCCATGAGGTTTAAAACTATGCAATCAAACACTGTGATGACAGCCTTTTTAGTTTCAAGCCCACCACAGTTTTGTACAAAAAGCCGAACTGTTGGAATTGATGGTCTGATACATGTGTTGGACTCAGCTGAGAAGTTCATCCACATTGAAGTAATGGACTACTTTCCCGCCATTATCTACACTAATCCTAACAAATACTGGCCAGTTATAGACGATGCGCTGCGCAGAGCTGTTTTTAACCGTGGAGTTGAACTTAGGCTCCTGGTAGGTCTGATGCCGCACAACCTGTCCCGATCTGATGAATACCACTATCTCTCCAGCCTTGCAGCTCTTGATGGCAGCGGAAGAGACCATAAAGTCGTCAGTAAAGTCAAACTGTTCATCATACCAGCCTACACACCCGCACAAGAACGTCTGCAGTACGCGCGAGTCAACCATGCTAAATTCGTTGTTACAGATAAGAACACGTACGTGTCTACAAGTAACTGGTCTGGAGACTACTTCACCAGTACTGGGGGATTAGTATGATCATGGAGAACGGGGGAGGGTGTGGTGTGTGTGGGACTGTGGCTGGAGTGTTTGATAGGGACTGGGCCTCCGAGTATACCAAACCTCTTAGACCCTGGGGTCCTGGGGGTGATGGTGTGGAAAGTGAGGAGACTGCTGTGATATTTTGATTGGTTTTGCATTTTTGTATGTGATTGTATTTGTTATGACGTTATAATTCATAATTATATTTTATATGGACACGTTCATTTGAGTTTGAGGATATTGGTAAACAAAAATAATAGCGTTTTCGACGATAGTGGCTTAATTTTGACATCTATTAACCTAGCACGTTCAGAAGTTCTGAACATTAGCCACGTAACCCATACTCCCATATGCACCGCTCAGAAAGAAAATCTATTGTTGTTAGGCACTATAATGTTTCAAATGTCACATTTTGTGTGACTTAGTTAACTGCAGTTGTCTAATTATCATTCCTTGGTCTGAAATATAGTAAATTAGGTCAATCTTACAATTATGATACAACATTGGTTAATGGGCACGGATCGAACGGTTACAAGGCAATATTTGGGTAACTTTGTCACACTAATGATACCATACCTCTATTTTATTGTGAGGTGTCCTAAAAACCCCTTCAACTCATTATTTGATGGTTGCTCTACCAATCATAGCCCTAAAATATATTGTTTTGAATAGTTAGCTAATACAGGCACTTGGTTATTGGGAAATGAGGTTAATTCTGTCACAATATATAATGAAATTTTAAATTTTGGGCGAATTATTTATATTTGATTTTGGGTTTGAAAGGCGGGAAAACTTTATATGATGACAATGTAGTTGATGCAAGTTAAGATCAGTTGATGTTTACATTGTCACAAAAAATTATACGAAATAGTAAATGAGTTAAAAACAATGATTATAGAATGAAATAGTCTCTTATAATAACTGATGTGACAAAGTGAACATGTCTTGCCCCTATTTTGAAGATCTATATTCTATACCTCTATTAGAATTCAACATTCTTAAGTTTAACAATTTTAGGTTAAATTTGTCAAAGTCACTAAAAATGTGACAAAATTAACTTTCCCTGCCCCAACAATATCAAGATAGTGTGTTAAAATTGGCATAGGATGCTTAATTGCCTATATAAATCAATCCAAACTACAAAATATATGTTAATGTGATGACGATTACCTAACTCTTATAATAACTGATGTGACAAAGTAAACATGTCTTGCCCCTATTTTGGCGATCTATAACACTATTAGAATTCAACATTCTTTCAAAAAGGATTGGAAGAATATTGTCCAGAACATCAGAGCTCAATTTTAACAATTTTAGATTAATTTGTCAATGACACTGAAAATGTGACAAAATTAACTTTCCCTGCCCCAACAATATCAAGATAGTGCACGTTAAAATTGGCATAGGATGCTTTATTACAGGTATATTAATCGATCCAAACTACGAAAAATATTTTTTAATCTGATGACGATTACCTAACTCTTATAATAACTGATGTGACAAAATAAACATGTCTTGCCCCTATTTTGAAGAACTATACCTCTATTAGAATACTATGTAACTTAATCATCAAAATTTTTTCGATAAACTAGTTATTTTGCCAGCAAGGAGCTAACAGAGTTATAATAATTTTTTTGTGACGAAATTACCCTATTTTGACCATGTTGTGGTAGTTTAATTGTGACACTGTTAACATATTACCACCTAATAATGATTCTTGTGACTGGTGCATGATACTAGCAGTGTTGTTTGATCCATAGTACGTAATATAAGGGGGTTTAAGCTGGTATATCATTATTTGTTCAATTTCACACATGTTCAGATATCATCAAGATTATGTGACAAAGTAAACTTGGTTGTGCCTTCTGTGTTATAATTCCTTACGACTATATGATATAATAACAATTCCCAGCACTTTCAGGCCATCAAATAAACCTACACTACTCAGCATTGCTTATCAGGGTACCCTAAACATTCATCATATATTTTCTTTAATGTGTGACAAAGTAAACCTGAGTGCACCATCCAACGAAAAAAGTCGTCAAATATGTAGGTAATGGTCATATGTACCCATCCAATCAACTGGACACTCAAAAATTTGGTCAAAAACGGCAGCAAGGGGTCCATATTTACTCCGTCACATGTTTATAGTGTGACAATGTAACCATTTCCGTGCCGGCCGTATTTAAGCGATATCTTATCACCTGATTAAGATATCGTTATGTGACAAAGTTAGCCTAGAGGATGAGACGATTATCCTAACCATCAAGGGTTTATGTAATTTCATAGTGTGACAAAGTCAACTACACTGTGCCTTTTAATAGGGTCACTTATATTTACCAATATCCTCAAACTCAAATGAACGTGTCCATATACATCGCTTCAATTTTTAAATGTTCAAGGGGTGGTTTTTGACAAAAAATGATTGATTTAAGTCAATGTCTATTTTTTTAGCTTCTTCCATTAGTATTGCTGGAGTGGGAGATATTTTTCATGACTTTTGTAACCTATTTTTATCAGTGACCACTGTCTTTTAATGATTTCTTTTAGAATCGGTCTAAATTATGTAATGCGTTAAATGTTTTGTTTAATTGGTCTACATGTTTTGTATCTGATGAAATATTAATTAACATTATATTTTCTAGATCTGACAATTAGCATCTTCATTTTTTATTTAAAACAGTTAACAATTTACAATTTCAAATGATTCATCTGGAAACTATTGGTAGCTGAAAAGTATTTCAATATTCGTACATACATACCATACAATATAAGAATTCCGGTTAATTATGTATTATATAATAATATCAGTGTTTTGTGCCACTGTAAGCGTAAAATTGTAACATTGCAATTTGCAGTAGTATGGCAGGGAGTGTCAAGAACATAGTGATAGGTGGAGGCACTGGTAACATAGGGAAATACCTTGTCAGCAGTCTCATCAAAGGGGGTCACAATGTTTCCGTCATTTCCAGACAAGCATGGGTAGGTACATAATAACAGAGGCTATGCTAGGGGGCCATGATTAGCGATATTTCGAATATCTGTGCGAGTTCTTCTTCTCAGGAGTATACTCTGATACTTAATCCTTTACTTACTTATTACAAGTATTTACATACCTTAAGGTTTTGTAGATTATTGTCCGTCCTCTATTGTTTCTCAGATTGTTTATTGAATTAAAATTATTGAAACAGTTGTCTTCGATAGGTTTGATTAGATGGGGGTGAATGAGTGGATGAGCCAACAAAAGCAACTGTTAAATCTTTAAATCATATCTTAAATTTTCAGGCCTTGAATAAAGCGTCAAAAGTAGCTCCTGCTGATGGAGCAAGACATCAGATGGCAAAGAATTTCATAAGCTGGGTAAGTCAAACTCAATTTTTTTTAAGTGTTTGAAACTTAACCAGGGACAAAAGGAAATCGCAGCATGTACGGAATCGCGATTTTTCCCATTATTTGCGACAAATTTTATGTATAGTTTAATATACCGCGAAATTTAATTCGCGGTATCGCGATTTTTGGCCAAAATTACCGCGAAATCCATTTGTCCCTGTTTGAAACCGATCACAAATCACAATCAATGGCAACCAGTTTGATGTGCCTTATTTACCCCTTGTAAGTTCTTGTTCTCATTCACCGTACAGCGTACTGAAAGACTTTTTTTCTACAGAAAGATATTGATAAAGATGGACTGCCTTTGGACACGGATGTTGTTATAAATTTATCTGGCCAGTCAATTGGCAAGCCGGGACCTTGGGTAAATTCAATAAAGAAATCCATTACCAGCAGCAGGTTCGTTATTTACTATTTAGTGGGTAATCTTAAAGCATCAGCCAAGTTTAGTAACAGCAGTAGTTCAAAATATTTTTAGGGAACTGTAACAATTCTTAGATCGCAAGTTATTTATTTTTGTAATTACACCTGGCAGATCATAACAATTGTTCAAAAATTTTCAGAATCGACACAACAACAAAACTTGCCAAAGCAATTGCTAAATCTGAGGCTCCTCCAAAACTGTTTATATCTGCTTCTGCTGTTGGTAGGTTGGTCTTCTTCAAATATTTGCCTAGTTACTAGTTAGAGACATCTATAATCTATATCTTCATAGGAATAGTGTCACATTTCATTAAACTCGTGATCGTGGTGGCTTATTTAATATTTTCCCCGTGATTTCAAGTGTGAATGCCACAGAAGACGCTCAAACGAAATGATGATGATTTATTTTTAAATTCCTTATTCATTACTTAGGAGTGTACGGTCTGGATGCCGAGAAGACATACACAGAGTCAGACCCTCCGGTAGCTAAAGGAAAGGAAACCTACTTTACCGACCTCTGCTTGAAGTGGGAGGAGAGCTCTAAACTAACAGAGGAATGTCAAACCAGAGTTGTTAACCCTAGATTCGGTAAGCTTTAAAGTTCCTCTTTATCTTTATCAGAACGTGAGAGCACGTCTTGATGGAATATGATAAATTAAATCTTTGATTGGTCCAATGGTCCTATTTCCAATATCATATAAAACGTTGTTCTGACCAAACAACTCAGCTGCTTAATCAGTAGTGAGAAGTAACTGTAACATCGCAATCAGGGGTGGTGCTGGCATACAACACAGATCCTATGAGAATTTTGTTACCACAAGGCCTTCTTTTTGGTGGAACTGTGGTCGGATCAGGTGAGCAACCCTTCCCCTGGATACACATTGACGATACAGTGAGCGCCCTGGAGATGATGATTGAGAATGAGGAAGTCAGTGGGCCTGTCAACTTTGTGGCTCCGCAAATTGTCGACAACTCTCAGTTCACTCGGGCGTTGGGTAACTTTTACTTTGTTGTAGCTGTTATTACAATAGTTTCAATACTATTAATGATTGTATACCTCATGTACAAATGTACCGGTGTAACCCTATGCAGCGTAATTATTTCAAATATTTAATTAGTAAAAATACACACTCTTTACCGCTCTTAAAATTTCAGCTGATGCGTGTATGACTAGTGTACAGAAGATCACCTTGCCTGCACCTCTTGTTCGGCTCATGTACGGAACAGAAAGAGCAGACTGTATTCTTTTAGACAGTCCCAAAGTTGTCCCTCAGAAACTGCTGGACTTTGGTTTTCAGTTCCAGCACAAAGACATTGACTCTGCCATGAAGGCCATGGTGGACTCACTGGAGGGCTGTACAACTCCGGGGATGAGGGTCTTTAAAATGGTCATTGGTAGAAATAAAAAGGCTGCAAAGTAGGCTTCCCCCAAAGTAGCGCTATGAATTGAAAAGCACTCTGTTCTATTTTGCCTGGTGATTATGGCAAGTGTAGCTGGCTAGTGCCTATCAAATCGCTTCCGGCTTCAGTGATATCAGCTGATTTCTTATATAGAGTTAAATTTAGGGATAATCTTAATTGTGTGGATTCAATTGTTAAAGAAAAACAAAAGGAATTCTGGTCAACTTGTTGTAGTCCTTCGGTATTCTAGGTACAAACCTGTGACCCTTGTAAAATAAAAAGAATCTGGAGGACAAATTTGATGATTATTATATTTTATCAATCTTATAGATTTGAAAGTTTGATGTTAACTTAGTTCTGTTTTGTAATTAGGATTTTGTATTTAATTTATTTACAACGATTGAAAACATTTAATTTCTACTATAATTCATACAATAAGCCTGAAAGTTACATATTGATATTATATATAACATGAACCTCACATCTTGTTCATTTTGAAAATATACCATCAGCCTGTGTTTCTACTTATTGAAGAAACAACGAACTTTCTTTTACCTAGCAGCTAATTGACTTACTTCGTCTATCAAGTAGGTTGGTCATGGACCATGGTATCTAGGTGCAAATAAATTGTGCCGAGGTGCTGCAAAAATGTGTCAAGAAAGCGTAAAATAAGTTATAAAATGGATTGTTAATCTATCAAATGTATGTATATTTTGTTAGTACTAGTTTTCAAATCATTGTCAAATAGTTATGGAGGGAGTAGAAGGACTTTACAAGAAGTTTGGAGTTTTGGCTGATGCCAAAGACAAAGCAGGAGAGGTCAGTACAGACAAAAGGATAGTTTTTCTTCAACCTGAAATTCATCTAAAAGTCTAAGAAGACTGACTACTGAAACTTGTCTTTAAACAAGCAAGCTCCTATTACAAGAAAACTTTGATTGTCCACTTGAAGGCTCCTTATTTTTGTAATAAAATTTCACATTTTGTTCCTCAGTACGAAGAAGAGTATCTCTCAATTCTCTCCACTATCAGTAATGGATCTGATGCTGAAAAGAGATTGTGTGCATCCTTCATTCCGCGATTCTTCAAATCTTTCCCAAATCATCAGGAGGCAGCTTTCAATGCTCAACTTGGTTAATGATGGATTTGAACTTTTTTGGATTTTATCAAACCTTCGGAAATAAATTCTAAATATTTGATCAGACTAGTGAATTCATGATATCATTCTAAAGCTTATTTCCTCCTAAAAAGAAAAGTTTCACAATAACTACTCCTGTTCAGATCTGTGTGAAGAGGAAGAGGCAGTCATCAGGAGAGAAGCTATCAAGGGTTTACCAGACTTGTGTAAAGCTGATCCTAAACTTGTGTCTAGGTGAGAGCAGCTATAGTTCAGTACTTTGTTAATTGTAAATTGTGTTCAGGACTCAGGCCAGGTTACCACGTTGCAATTTCATTTTTTGCATAATATGTCAATATTATTCTTTTGTCTTATATAACATCATATAAATATCATTATTATGCTTGATCCTCACTGCACCTTGTGGCCGTATTGAATAATATGTCGTTTAAAAATATATAATATGTTTATTTTCTGTTAGCTAAAAACTGTACGAATTGTTAGCTCGCTAAATTAAAGTAGAGAAATGGGCTGAAAACAGAAAATACACATTTGTAGCTCATGGGTGCACGTTTTAAGCATTATCATTATAACTTTATAACATAAAAAAACAATAAAATTCTGTTTAAATACGCCATACATTCAATAGCATATTTTTAACTACATTGCCATGACATGTACAGCCAGCTTCACAGAAATTGCAATGTTTAAAAATTCTAAAATAATAACAATTAATTGCTTTGTGTCTGAAGAATACCTAAATGAAAATAACCAGTTACTACTAAAATAAAAGAGAAAAAAATTCCAAGAAAAAGCAATAGGTTATACCTCATCAAAAATTACTCCATCATCAGCCAAAGTGAGCACAAAACGGACAGAAAAAACTAAATACTAATCTATTTAAATTGAACCTAAAACAATCTCCCCCGCATATTCCAACTCATTTTTCAAAACAAGTTTCTCCAATTCACTCCAACTATTTACTAGTAACGTTCGTCTTCTCGGAGTTAGCCTCTTTATACAAGCCCCTCCTCACCATCTGTCGTCTGATCAACATCATGGCCCGACTGCTCCTCAATCTGGCCCTCAGCGGCTTCATCCGGCACAGATACACCACTGGGTTAGACGCACTGTTCAGAGCTACAGAGACCCTCCCCACTAGGATGAACACCAGCTGAAGCTCCTCTACCTTGAAGTCGGTGGTCCAGGTGAGAGCGTTGAACTCTGTGGAGAGGAGGTAACAGTAGACAAGCCAGCAAGGAACATTGAACAAGATGTACACTAGTGTCATTATCAGTATCGTTATCGTGGCTTGGGTCACAGCTGCCGTTGCCAGGTCCGGTTCATCGTTGGCAATGTTAACTTGTAGGCTGTGGGCTCTGTCCAAATCCTTGCCTGGTCCGGGTCTTGTCAACCCGTTGGATTTAAATCTCAGCACGATATGTTTCCGGTTGTTATCAGAGGTGTTTCTCAGCTGCTTACGATTTATACTGGACCTCAGCAACACAGTGACAGAAGCAACACACGACACCACAACAACTAAACCGGGCACTAGCCAGGGAAGGATGATAGTGGTGTAAGTCATGCCATACCACAGGGAGCTGTCTGTGCTGTTGACAAAACTCAACTCGTTAATACCCCACGTGCACTGCCCAAAGAAGGCAGTGTAGTAGTAGGTGGTTTTAGAGAAAACCAGGGGTAGCCCAGCTAGACAGACGTTGAGACAGAAATAAACAATAAAAGCAGCGAGGTAGATGGCGGGTTTTATGACAGTGAACGGGAAGACGAGCTGAATGGTTCTAGCAACACTTAACATAGCTATGAGGAACACGGAAACTCGTGAAAAAACGTTGAAGATAAAACCTGACAGCAGACAAATAATCCTGTTTTCTAAAAACATGGCAGCTTTCCTGTTCAGCATGGAAATAGCGGTGGGAAAACACGAAACAAGAATGAGGATGTCAGTAACAGAGATAAGGAGGTAGAGGAAGCTGGTGAACTGTTTGCGGTGGTGGAAGAAGTGTGGGATGGTGAGGGGGTTGAGGAGGAGTCCTGTTACCACGGATACCAGTTCAGCTGTCCCCAGCAGGTAGTCAGTGGTCATGGTCAGGAGGGTGGAGTTGTTGGACATGGTTATCTGTCTGTGGGGGATTATTTTAGTTTTAGACTATTTTGATTCTTGTTTGTTCCTTCACACTTTCATGTTATTACTTCATCGGTTGTCAAAGTTTCATTCATATTATATTATATATATTCTTAATCCTATCGAACATGATCTGATATTCTACAAGATTTTCACAAAACTCATTCGCAACTAACACTGAACTAGAATCAGCCCTTTATATGGTCAAAACAACAGGACAAGTGACCTTTTAAAACAAATACAATCTGCAATAAGACTAGACTGATTCTTAATCTTATTAAAATGTGACACTGTAGAGACAAGTGCAAGTTGCTCATGAGCAGCTTGTTGCAATAATCTTGAACTCGAACTGTTGTGTCAATTAAACAGGTTAATCTCGAACTTAAGCAGTCTCGACCTACTATCACCGTATTATTTTGATATGAAATTTGGTTGATTGTGAGTCGAAGTCTTTATATTTAGACATATTATGTCTAAATCAAAGTTTGCTCACGTCAAAAGTGCATTATATTACCACTAGAATTTATTTATTTAATTAATATTAATATTTCAACTGCATTTAAAATTAAATGATGTTTGAATAATATGTCTAGCTCTAAAACGAAATGTCGATCTCCGAACCGACGAGCCAATTTAAGTATTAAATATTAAATCAAAATTTTAGTGCTTATCACCTTAAATACACGTGGTAAATGGTTATTCCGTGGTTATCACGTGGTTATCACGTGGTTATCACGTGGTTATCACGTGGTTATCACGTGATTATTACGTGGTTATCACGTGGTTATCACGTGATCATTACGTGGTTATCACGTGGTTATCACGTGATTATTACGTGGTTATCACGTGGTTATTCCGTGGTTATCACGTGGTTATCACGTGGTTATCAGGTGGTGCTGTGTTCACTACCCTTCCCAAAACTTCCCACAAACGAAAAACATGTGAAAGCAAACGAGAAAAATGTTGAAATTTACGCAAATAATAGAGAATACAGATTCCACTACAAAATTACAGTAAAGTTGAAGTAAAGTCTTACAAAGCTGACTCTATACCGCTTCTCATGAATGTAGGGTTGTTAATTATACGGCATCGAATACCAAGACACGAATCAACTACTAGAATAAAAGAACGTTGATTTTTAAAATATGCGACGATTATATAATATACTCTTTCCAACTACTGACAAGGTGCCTTTCTATTTGAGAAGGTGATTTGCTACGTCGGAATCACGTGAGAACATGACTGTAACGACTAGATTTACTATCACATGGGATTTCAGAACTTCTAAATAGAAAATTTGATATGTAATGCTGCTTTACGGCACGTTTGACCATGGTTAAATGATAATATCTATTTCAACTTTGCTCTAGCTCGAAGGTTTAACTATTAGCTTGTCTACTTAGAGGTCTAAGAAATAATTACTAGACCAGCTGTTAAAGTCCCACTTCTACAGGCTCGAGCAGTGTTGATAACCCAGATATTATTTAACTATTTGATTAGAATAAACTCCGCAATATCTAATATTAACAAAATGGATGGCGAGTGAACAAAATTCCGCCCTCTAGCTTTGCTGAAGAAATTCTTGGTAAATTTGAGGCGACGCCCATTCAAAAGAAAATATTCTGACGTCAATAACCTTTGTGCTCTGTGCTCACCCTGTGTCCCTGACCCCTGTGCGTGTGCAGTTTTAATGCAATCCTGCAGTTTGCTCTTTACTAGTTACTAGTTGATTTAATAACTTGCTAACTTTGTGATTAGGAAATCCTATTTAAAAGTATTTAAATTATAATATTGCAGCACAAGCTGCAATTCTTCTAATCAGCTAATTGTTTTTTATGCGAGACAATCATATTGTCTCTCATAGAAAACGATTAAGTGTCTACTTTCTCAAATTATCAAGTAGCAATATCAGCAAAAAGCACGGAATAAGAATTTTACTCAGACGAAATACTGCAAATCTTAAGTTGAAGGTGATTTAAAAAGCTTAGACTCAATAACAAGGTACCAAGTTAACTTTTATATATAATACGATTATCGCGCAGTTTGCCTTCTAAATTTACAATTACTGGGGAAAAATCTCGATATATATACGTAGAGAAACAGTGGTGATAGTATGCAGTGCAGTAGTGCAGTGGGTATAATTCTATTGGAAAGCTATTTCAGATTTGCTTCAGACTTTCAGAATAACTATTGAACCGCAAAAATCAATCGGATTTTCAAACGATACATGCAGAAAATTCCAACAACTAGGCGAATGCCTTATTTCACTTATTTGTCCGCGTCAAGTCAATAATATTACAATAAAACTCTATCACTGCTTCATAGTACGTTTATCAGATCTACCAGTATAATTGATAATTTATATGAATTTAATGAAAGGCTTGACCAGAACCTAGATATGTACGAGTAGTGAGTACCCAGTATAGGTTAGTAACATGTTGACTGTTGAGATATTAATTATAATGAAATTGCGTTAATTACCGCCTCCCTGTGTAACTGTATTGTAAAATGAATATGATCAGCATCAACTGAGTGAAAATCTGCCAATTATATTGAATATTGGCCCCCCCTCCCCCAATATTCGATATATCCTTTAGATCTGGCTACATATATAATGAACATATTATACAAGTTTAAAAACGTGAAAATGATCAACACAATTAAATATATTTTCGAAATAGATCGAATTGGTTTTAAAACTAAACATGACGTGCCTGTTCAATTCTGCCTTTGTTGGAACAAAAATGCGTCTATGATGGAATGTAGATTCGCAGAAGGCTGCTGAATAGATTGATAAATACTGTCTAGACATTCCATTAAAATCAGACTATGGGAGCATGTGAGGAGTTATAATAACTAGCAGGAATCCGTCTAACTCTAACCCTAAAATGGTGTCCAGACTCAAGAGACTGAATGTCTAAAATGGGGGGGGGTGTAACCCAAAAAAACCCAACTCCTACCCAAGAAAAGGTAATACTGGGATTGGGTTTTTTTGGGTTTTTTTGGGTTTTTTAAACAAAATTTAAACAAAATTCTAGCCATTTCATTAATTGTATTGAATGTGGATTATTTCCCACTGAGTCTTACCTACGTGTTGTTCTCATGTCTTAAC